TCTTCAAGACACCATGGGGACCAAAGAAACAGATAGACACAAAATATAAAATCAAATACTACAGGAGACATTCTGAATAGCTGTTATATATTTTGGGGGAGGACTAGAACTGCTGGGGTATAAGTACAGTGAGCTACAATTAGGTACATGGGACCCACAGATAAGATACTTTTCCACATGCTCCTGCAAAATTACTTTCGCAATGTCTGGCAGCCAGCATTAAACATAGGGTGACCTGGGGCAAACACTCCTAAAGTTAACAAACAAGGAACCAAAGCAGCTGTCAGGGGATGTTTTTATCTATCAGGGAGCCTCCCACGCTGTTCAGATACACTAGAGATTACATAACGGTGCATGGGACAGCCATATAGAAAAGAGTCGCATACTCTTGACCAGATTAATCTACTTTTTCTCCCAACCAATGCATAAGAAAATCCATGTAAAATGCAATGCAACTTGATTTCAGTTATCCAACTTTACTTCTTCAGATGAGGGAGGAAGAAAGAGAGAATCCAAAAATCCACTGACCTTCCCATTTATTCTTCCCCTTTGTAACAAGCTGTCTTAATAGGTTCCTATTGGAGACAAGCTGAATTCCCTATTACAAGTTTATTGGGATAACACTAAATATGATATGGGAATACGAATTCATAAGTAACCAGTATCTTGCCAAAGAAAAGCTCTGAAATACCATTTTTTCCCCTTCTATTCATGATTTAAATGATTTCTGCTGCTTAACTTTCAGAGACACTAACAGGTTTCATCATCAGATATAGATTGGCAGCCTTAATCTAAACAAACTCACTGACAGCACTGTTAGAGCTCATTAGCGTTCTCACCAGATGCTTCTGTCTGTATATATGAGCATCTCCAGTATTTCTTTCCAGTACATGACCCATAATACTAGCATAGCTTTCAAATTAAAACAACAAATCTCAGTAGAGCTTCAAATCCTTGCTCTTCTGGGGATTAAACCCGTGCAAGGCTATGACAAAGCATTCCATGTTTCTTGGGCTTTTTAAAGGCTTTTTTTTTGTTGTTTTACAGATCACTTTAGTGATTTTTTGGCATTTCTCACAGATCTATACAAATATGACTACCGCGCACACTATTTGCTTTCACAGCAAAAGCGCAGAGAGCATTTGTCAATACAAATATCATGTAGGACTATATACACAGAAGAAACCTGTGCTTCATCTGTCTCTGTGCAAAGCAATGCTTTGACGCGAAAGCTGTCAGAAATCATTACAGGGAAGAATTTAAAAACCTCATACAATGATTAAGTTGCCGCAGCCAAAGTAAGTATCATAAAAACAAGTTACGACCCAGCTCCAGTTTTTAAGTGAATGAAAAATTAGAGGGCAGGGAGGCCAAATATGTGGGCTTCACAAAGAATGTCTCCCTGAATCTGCAAAGCAGGCCTGATCAGATCTCATGGTTAGTTTATTGGTCTATCAGCACTTAACCAGATATGAAGTGGTGGCAACGATCTCAGCCCCAGCTCATCAGTCACACAGGTACAAAGCATCCAAATAGAAAACAGATTTTCTGATTCCCTGCACCTCCCTAGAGGCCTGCGCTGCTGCCTGAGGACTACAGCGTTCTCCTTTCTTGGCTCATTTGCAAGATAAACATATTCCGGCTTCAAATGCTGCTCCTTTCCAACTGCTGGTGAAAACTCCAGTCAGTCTGAGAGATTAAGAGGATGATCTAGGGCACCACTCAATCCAACAAAAATGCTCATGTGGGAACGCAAAGCTGTTGTTGTGACCAGAAGGGTTTTTTTCTGCTGGATCTCATTCTGCAAGTCTAGGTTCAAATAGTTTCTATCTTTATTCTTTATCCACATTAACTTCCTTCCTTTTTTTTTTTTTAAAGGGAGTCACACACTTGGATTTAAACAGATTTTTACAGATTTTACTGCTTTTCTACACCTATGACTGAGACAGCCCTTGTACCCAGGCAATGTTGGGCTGGATCAGTATGTAGTTTTAACACTTCCAAACACCTGCAGGAAGCAGCATAAGTGATCAGGTAGGCAGGACTCTTCTTAACTACCCCATACCTAAATTTATGGTTCCTTACACTTACAAGATACCTTGTGAGAAATTTGTAGGAGCTCGTAGATCTGCCCCTACCCTTTGTAGGCAAGCTCCAGTTCAGCTCTTGCTTTCTGCCCATCCATGCCTGTCTCTACAGTCTCTTTTGAACCCTGTTCTAAAACTGATGTATAGTGTTACCAAATTTTCAGGCATTCACTGACTTCTACCCCCAAATCAGCTGCATTTCAGCACTTGAAGCAGCAGTTCCCTCCATGCTCCTCATGCTGCCTCAGATGGGTATGACTAAGCCCTAAAATCATTCTTATAGCAAGCTTTAAAACACTAGTGAAAGACATTAGGGAAACTGTTAGTTGTGATAAAATTTTTAGTGCTACGGACAGATCTCAAGTCCTTATTACTTATTCCCCTCTTTGAACTCAAGACAAGACATACAATTTAAGCACTGGGTTAGAAGCTACAACAGGAAAAGGACTAATTTGCTCTGCTACAAAAACCTTCCTAGGTAAGATAATTAAACCATGCACATTAACAAACAGGCTTTTAAGGCTGAAGAACAGATTAAATTATCATAGTGACACAGGGACAAATCTTTAGTTGCAATAAGGGCGTATAACGTTGTTGACAACAGTGGCTAGAACAAACTTTATCTAATTTATGTCTAGAGTTGGCCAAAACCCCACAAATCTAGAAACTCTTAAACTTTGGGAAAGCTTTGATCCAGTCCAGACTTTGTGGCTCTGATCCACTTCAGCTGGGAAGGACACATATCTGCTTAAAATATATTTCACAACACATCTTTGCCTGAATTTTTTTTCAGATAGGTCATAAATACCACATGTAGAACCATTTCTCCTTATTCACAGTACCTACTAGCAGAGCCAGCTATTCCCATCTCCAACCCAGAATGTTAAAAAAAAAATTTAAAAAAAAAAAAAAAGAGAGAAAAAAAAAAGATGCAAGAGCAAGCTTTAGATCAGTTGACTTGCTACCAAGGAGCAAAAAGAAAGCTAAGGTACTAAAATCTGCACAGTCAGAATGTTTGGAAGAAATTCAAGCTGGTGAGAAACTCTATGTGACTTGTACAGTGCGGAACAGCTTGCAAAGCACAAAACAAACCATATCACTCCCTTCTTGTTATCCCTAGAAAAACCAAAGACTCATTTGACTATAGTTTCTGAACAAGCATATTATGCAAGTCTACTTTTTTTTTTCTTTTTGGTAAAGTAACAGCTGCATTTACTGTAGTAGGAAAGCTGTGATCACAAACCACATAGGAAGGTTGCGGTTTTCAGATACCTAGCTGAGAGTGATGAAAATAATTAAAATCTAACCAGGGAAAAGGAGTCTGATAAGCTCCTCTGACTACATCTACCACTGATAATTTAACAAATGAGCTGTTAATAACTTAAATCAAGTACAGCCAGACCCTAGATCTACAGATCATAAGATTTAATTCCAGTAGGAATGGACCTTAGGAGGTCAGACGAGGTTGCTCAGGGCTTTGTCCACTTGAGTCTTGAAAACCTTCAAAGATGGAGACTGCACAGCCTCTCTGGGCAAGCTGTGCCCCTCCCTGACTTGTCTTCAGCGTGAAAAAGTTTTTCCTTGTACCAAATCTGAACATCTCTTGTTTCAACTCATGCTTGTTATCTTTCACCATGACCCCCAAGCAGCACTGTGAAGAGCCTGGATCTGTCTTGATAATTTCTCCATAGCTAGTAGCTACGGGCAACTGCTGTTTGTTAGGTGCTCCCAAAGCTGTCTCTCTTCCAGGCTCAACAAGCCTGGTCTGGCAGCCGCTCCTCATGATGCAAGTGTTCCAGTCCCCTAACTTTCTTGGCTGTCCTCTGTCAAACTCACTCCGATTTATCAATGTCTTCCTTGTATTGAGGTGCCTAAACCAAGGCTCCCTATTCCAGATGTGGTCTAACAAGTGCTGAGTAGCGGGGCATGATCACTTCCATGAATTTACTGCCTGTGCTACTGTTACTACAACCCAGGATACTTTTGGCCGCCTTAGCTGCCAGGGCACACTGCTGGCTCATGTTCAGTTTGCTGTCTACCAAAATCCCCAGGTCTTTTTCCACAGAGCTGCTTCCCAGCCATCCAATCCCCAGCCTGTATTATTGCCAGTGCCTCTTCCTTCCCATGTGCAGGGCTTCCTATCCGTCCTTGCTGAATTTTGTAAGATTTCTGTTGGTCCTTTCCTCCAGTCTGTCCAGGTCACTCTGGAAGGCAACCCTGTCCTTCAGCACTACTGACTGGTCCTTCTAGTTCAGTGTCCTCTGCAAATGTGAGTGCACTCTATCACCTCTGATTCTTCAATGAAGATATTAAAAGGATGGGTCCCAGGACAGACCCCCTGTGCTACTCCAGTTGTCACAAGCCTCCAGTTAAAAGTAAGAATCATTACCCTCTACCATCTGAGCCTGCTCAGCCTACCATTTTTTTACCCATCTAGTTGTCTGTCCATCCAGACTGTAACAGTCTAATTTGGATATAAGAACATTGTGGGAGATACTTTCAAAAGCTTTGTTAATGTCAAGGCAAATGACATCCACTGCTCTCCCCTGCAACGATAGCAGTGGGAGTTCTGATACTGAACTTCATGGAACTAGTTTTAACTCTTGGCTCTGGGAAGACGCTCTTTGGAAAGTATAGATTTGTATTACTGGAATTCAGTAGGCCAAATCCTTATCTGCAATAATCAGCCCAGCTCCATTACACTCAGTCTATATACAGTATTTCATCTCAGCTAATGATCCTGGCTTATCATGCACCTGATATGTGTTGCCTCAATTCTACATGCAGGTTGCACGGACAGGCCCTAGGAGCATCAAATAGAATAGCAAGGGAAACCAGAGAGATGCAGAAATTCCTCAGTTCTCCTGGGAGTACCACAGATCCACTGTGTTCTTGTGACAATCTTTCTCTTACCTTTGCAAGGAAACTCCATGCTGCATATTGCCCTGAGGTTGTGCTGCTTTTTAGCTTCACTGTGTGCAACATCAGAAAGAATCCCAACAGTCCACTGCAAGGGATGGGGAAAGCTTGTTAATAAAGTCTCTTAATTTCAACTAAACAACTTCTTACAGGCATCTTGGTTTTCCTTATGCAGAATTGAACAGTCACCCTCCAAGCAATGTTAATCCCATTTGGATAAAGCAAGCTTGTGGACAAAGAGCTTACAATTATGTCCAGTACATCTTGGGTTTTGTTTAGTCAGTGACTGGAGTCTGAGTAAAAGTAAGTCTGACGCTCTTATGGCTGGTCTCTAATGCACTTGCATAATCAGAAAAGTAGAGATTGTTGGAAACATGAGGTGAAATACTAACTTCAGGCATTGAAATGGCTCTGAATAAAGGCAAAGCTAATTTCAACAGGAGCCACACATGTTTGGCAACTAACTCACTTCAACCTCCACAGAGCCTTGAACTGAGAAAATAACCACTGGAAAGTTTCTGCCTGAAGCTTTCAAGCTGTTTAAACTTCATGAAGCCTAAACTTCCAATTAGGAAGTCAAATACATCTCTACTCTGTAACAAATAGACTGATGACTCAGTAGGGCTGGGAACAGAATCCTTCAAAGCTCTCTGCTGACGATTAAGTGGATTTTGATTCTCAAGTCACATAGGACAGTAGTCCCCAGTACTCCTGTAGCCAAGACTACTCTAAAGGAAACTGTTCCACATCTCACTGGACCTCACAGAGCTTCTAAGCTTTGGCTCTGGATTTTGTTTCACTTGTGACATACTTACAACCCACTGGTTGTGAACCAGTGAAACAGTGTAAACCAGCAAGCATGGAATAGCAAAGGACTTCAAAATACATAAGGCACAAATTACTGTAAGGTTGGCTGAGAGGCATAAGAGATTACAAAGTACTGTGGGAAGCTGCATGGGAAAGGAAATAGGATGAACACTGCACACAGGCAGTGAGGAAAAAAGTGCCTTGGTATTCTAAGAAGGTATGCTGTTCTGGATACTGATGCAATGCAGTTGGCGCCCTCTCTGCAATAGCAGGAAGGCTGGAAGATGGTGGCTCCCCAAGTCAGAAGTTCCACGCTGGGCTCCAGCACCTCAGACAAGTGTGGTTCCCTGCTCAGTACCCATGGCAAAGTTGCATCTCAGCTACATGTCACTGCAGGTGTTTTTGATACACCAAACAGTAGGTAAGATAACAGCCCAGGAGTAGATGGTACTAAGGTTTCTTACACTGAGCCGTAACACGAGACCCCAAAGGTCTATCCGCTCTGCCTGGAGCCAAGAAAGCAGATGCTGCTTTGATGATAAAAGATAGGCCCAAGCTCAGCTCCCTGTTGCAGAGTGAGGTGCTGAAGAGGAGGCATTCCATTCTGAGAAATCAGTGAGTTCAGTGAAGCAGCATTGCCCAAACTTTTGAAAGTTCAGCAGCTGGCTTCAGTTTGTTCCACATCTTCCACACTGCTGAGAAGGGCTTTTAGTCAGAGTGATTTGAAGCTGTTTAATGTAATTCAGAGATAAAAAGTGAAACAGCTAATTATAATACCTGAAATATTGATGTCACAATTAAGGCTGATTTATTTCATTAAATAAATGGAGCACTTCGCACTGTACTACTAATGCTTCAGACATTCTGCACAGGCAGCAGATTAAGCTGCATCAGTTACCCTTACTTTACATTGTATAGGTTTTCCTCCAAAACCTGTATGTCTACAAAGACACTAGATTGCAAGATGTAGGACGAGATGCTTGTTTCTCCATCTAACTAATTCTTCCATCAATGGCAACAGAAGTGGGAGGCTACAACAGTGATGAAATTCTAATGAAGTGAAAGAGAAGAATATCTGGGCTAGACAGATATCCATTAGTGCCTGCAGTTAGACCTTGCCTTCTAGAAGAAATAGATTTCACCTACGCACTGTGGAACAACTTATTCTTTAATACCTAATTGCAAGTTACATGTAGTGTTGATAGTCCACCCTGGAAAAAAGCAACTTTTGTACCAAAAAACTGTGTACATAGGGAAATTATTTAGCAACCATTTTTAATATCCCCTTTTAATGGCAAATCCGGCTACAATTAAGAAAATCCCTAACAATCAGGAAATATTTTTTGCCATCAGTTAGCATGAAAATATTTTTTCCCCTCTAAAAAGAAAATACTTCCATTTGGCAAAAGACTGGAGTGGAAACACAGGAATAATTTTTTTTTTTTTTGAGATAATTAAGACCTATAGAAAAGGTACTAACATTGTCCTATGAGAATTACATTATTGGGCAGTGAACTTTTGCTACTCAAAATAAAGGAATGCTTGTTAAAGCTTTTCCCTTTTACCCAAAAAAAGCATGCTGCCAAATAACAAGATGTACAGACAAATAAATCCACGAACACCCATATACTGCTGAAGACTAATACTTTGTAATCACTGCAAACAGCAAGTTTTACAAGGGCTAATCCGACTTGAGAAGCATTTGAGAGATGCTATTTATCGAAGCTTTGCTACATTAGGTAAAAATTATTTTACTGGTGACTGGGAACTCTCCTGATCAGTATGCACTTGCTCAAGTAAACACATATACTTCTAGCACATTTGAATCTCTGGCCTTCAAATGCATATCCACAGATATGCACAGATATATATTCTCTGAAGTTTTACTGGCTTATGCCAACAGAAACTAGTATAACTAAGGTTTTGCATGCTCCAAAATTTTTAACTGAGAGTCAAGGTTGGAAGTCAATGGGATCACTTATTTTGAAAACATTCACATGTCCTATTATAGAGAGGTTACCTGGCACAGCAGCTGCTATGAAACCTGTAGAAGTACAGGAATGGAAAGTCCAAGGCACTGAAGAGATCACCTGAGGGACAAAGCAATATACTCAGTGGAACACAGGGGGAAAAAATTACCCACTGTTACAAGCAGAGGAACAGCAATTATACGAACATTACTAGTTTAACATTCTTTTGAGCCTTTACAGCTGGCTGACTTTTCATTTATGATGCTTTTCACATTTCTAGTGTTTAATGATTTCTCTCTGACCTTGCTTCTAGTGGGTTCCTGCCTTTGGTTGAAAAAGGGGAAAGGGATATATGTAAGAGTATTCTTTACTAGTATACAGAAGATCCTGCTTAAGCAACAGTTGCCAGTGGATAGACGTGCATCATACCCACTTCTTTTATTGCAGAGCTTGTGATAGTTCTTACTGAAGGCAACAGGAAACACAGACATATGTTGGCTGCTTCCCCCTCTGGCATTTGAACTCTGTTACAGAGCAAGTTGAGAGGTTTAAAAAAGTTCTCCCAGATCCAAGCAGAGCTCTCGAGCACTTGCATTTCCAGGAACCTGGGCCCTGGTTGTTCTTGGTAGCAACAATTCCCAATTCCAGCCTTCAGGCTCTACAGATTCGGAGGAAGCTCCACCTTTCATTTTTTGAAATACAGGTCTATTTTGCTTAACATGTCTGCCTATCCTGGTGGGGGATTGCTATATACACAATATGGCCCACAAGGCAAAAGGCAGAATTTATGTTTATACTTCTTCCTTTGTTTTTCTGACTGAATAAATGTCTAGTAAAAGCAACAGACCATCATCTTTATCCTTCTAACTATTTATACATCAGTATGATAGGAATATTAGCCACCATCAAATATTCAATTTCTCAATCTCTAGCCTTTGACCTTTTGCTACTTCAAATCCTGCTACGGGCTCAAGCAATGGGATACATCTTATGAAAGCAACAAAATGAAATCTCTGCATAGCACTGAGGGCAATGCAGAGAAGGAAATTCAGTTCTATATGGACTGCTGGGACACTGCTCTGAAGAGGACATATTCACCTAGGGAATGGTTCTTTACCATGCACCACCTCAAAATCTGTTCTTTGTTGTCTGTTGCATGCTGCTACTTTGCAAAGGGCAGCTAAGAAAGGTATTAGTAACTATCATGCAAATTACACAGCATTATATACCATCCTCTTCTCTTCCTATAGGATATCATATTATTGGTCATATCCTTGTTGAATTCCAGGGCTAAATCCTACAGGGTCTGGCCTCTAAAAACATGCATGGAAAGGAAAGGCAATACGGAAACCTAAAAAGGGAACAACTCAATCCACTTTACCTGCTGGATGGGATGCAGAGGCCAACAGCACCACACTGAAAAACAAAAAAAGATTAATTGCATACTACAGAATTTATGACATGGCCTGAACATTATAAATTGACAGATTTCTGTTTGTTTTTTCATGGTGAAACTTATTCCAGTTAAGTAGAATAACTGAGGCATAAGTATCAAATGAAAAAAAAGATAAGTTAGCTGGGAAGGAATCTCCAGGGTCACCTAATACAACCTCTCACCTGAAGCAGGACTATTACCAATATTTGATCATGTCCTCTGTGGCTCTGTCTCAAAAAGCCAGAACTCGAAAACCTCCCAGCATGGAGATTCCACACCTCTCTGGGTAATTTGTCCCAGGGCCACCCTACCCTCCCAACTAAGAAGTTTTTCCTGATGTCCCATCTTTAAAACACCAAAGCTGCAAATTTATGGTTGTTGTTCCATGTTATACCACCAGCTGCTCCTTACAAGAGTTTTGGCTCTGTCATCTTTGCAACTCCCTTTCAGGAAGGTGTAGGCAGTTGTTAGGTTGCACCTTGGTCTCCACTTTGCCAGTCTCAACAAGACAAGCTCCTTCAAACTCTCCTTCTACTAAGCAATGTGCTCTAAGTCCCTAACAATGCCAGCAGCCCTCTGCTAGATCTTCAAATGCCCACTACCTTTCTTGAACTGGGAGGCCCAACACTGAACAGAATATTCCAGCTGCAGCCTCAGCAATGCTCATAACAACTTCTCTCAATCCAATTGGGCTCTGTCTAACGTAGCCCAATACATGGTTTGCCTTAATTTGCCATGAGCACGCACTACTGCCTCATATACATCTCAGTATTCACTGTTACCCCCAAGTCCTTTTCAACAGACCTGCTGTTCAGCCAGCTGGTGACACCACTGAGACAGAATCTATAGAGAACTGTACTTGTTTCTAGACTTGAGAGCCTCTGTCCAAGGATTAATTTCAGCTGTGTGCATACCAACACCTGCTTTGTAGGGATGTGCATATATTGTCTATAAGAGTCAAATACAGAGGCTTATGCGTGTGATTGTGCATGTACTGCATATTCATGCCCAAATAATGTCAGTGAGAGAAAGGACAAATGCTGCAATTAAACAAGTTTAAAAAAACACCATGAAAATAAAAACCAGTACCAGCCCAAATGATGCACACTTTTCAGAACAATACAAGTGAACAAGAAAATCAGCTGTGAACAGTTGTTTACCTGAAGTATCATTTAAGATTTCTGAGTTCCTACAAAGACTTCACCCTCTGAGTTTGCAGTATAGGCCGTACAGAGCCTTTTTCAGTACTACTGATTCTTCTGCTAGATTTCTGAATTTTTTTTTTCCGAATTTTTTTATTCCATGTTGTTTTCAAGGTTAGAAGGCTACAGAAACATAATCTGAGGCACTGTAAGATGGGAGAAGCATGCAAGTCTCCAAAACAGAGCTACAGCTTCCTCCAATTACCAACAACATAAACCCATGACAAACACAAAAGGACATGAGGGAGAAGGAGAAAAGAGTACCCAGAGAGGTTAGCTTTTGATAAGCAGCAAGTACTGCACTTACAAAGGTAAAAAGACATTCACTTATGTTGTGAATGCTAAAGCTGTGTAATTCTCCCTGGCTAATTACCAGTAATTCTTACAGTTCACTAAGCCCAGTAACAGAAGTAAAGCGCCAACACAGCCAGCAGAGGAATGGAAGCCTGCACAATGAAAAGTCAAGGCAGAAAGAGCTGGAAGTGTTTCCCAACACACAGGGTTATGGCTAGAAAACTAAACTCGCTGTAAATGAGCTACCTCCAGTACCTGCAGCAGTACAGCATCATCAGTGTGGTGCTTATACCAGGCCAAGTCCCTCTTCCAGTGTTAACACAGCTACCATTTCCAAGCCTGCTCACTCTTGGCTGGTCCCAGTTCTCTGCGTGACTGGGCTACTGCGCTTGGTGGCCTGCCTCCCAGTGTCATTTGCAGAGACACTGGTAGCAAAAGGAACTGCAAAGAGCGTGGAAATCCAATGGCCAAGGAAGCCTCAGGGGGAAGCTTGCCACTGAAATCAGCCATGGAAGACAACGGGCTGAAGGAGGAAAGAGTTCAAGAGTAATAGGCAGGTGGGTATTTTAGGCTTAAAATTTTATACAATGTCTTTGAAAGGCATCAGCTGGTACAGCATGTTCACATTGTCAATATTTATACCTATTTAAAAGATGTGGTTGTCACAAAGATATTAACCAAGGCAAAGCAGATCACTTACAGTAGGCAATTCCCCCCTGCCTCTCCTCCCCACACACATGTGCTCTCCCCACATGAGATGCCAAGAGGAATTCACAATAAACAGGCCCAATTCCTCAGTTTCCTGGTACAGAGAGAAAAGGAAGCAAAGCTTTTGACTGAATAACAGAGAAAACAGGAGACTGGCAGGGCAAGTGAAACTTTATCAACAGTGATGAGAATTATGACTAAGCCGTGTTTCTCCACTTTTGCTTTTTGCATTATTCATTTTTAAATAAAAAAAACAAAACAGTGAGATTGGGAAACACTCAGAGAGAAACTTCCTTCTGCAACCAAGGGGAATTGATAACGCTACCAGACATCCCAGGCCTTCATCCAAAGAAAACACAGGAAGAAAACAAAACCTTCTTTGTGAAGTGTGGGGCAGGTTAAGGCAAATGGGTTAGATGGCATTAAAGTTGTCAGTGAAAAAGGCACCATGATGTTGTAAAACCAGATTAGTGGATTCAGAGGTTTCCAGAAGAACAGCCTGGACATCAGGCTGCAGCAAAAACAAAATCCCTGTGCCAGATTTCTCTGCTCCTCTCTTTTTCCCCTGTACTCAGTACTGAGGGCTGGATCACCTGTGGTTTTCTTTCTGGCTAAAAAGAGGTTTTGTCAGCAAGAACAGCAATTTATGCCTGCAAAGCTGCCCTTCCCTATTGCAGAAAATCTACCGCAGCTTTTTTAATTCACAAAAGCAACAGATTAGCAGCTCCTTCAGAAGCCAGATGTAGTTTAGCTGCATAGAGTAGAGCCTTTACCTCACATCTTCGTCAGTGCCATTTCTTCACCATTTGAAACTCTCCCACTATAAGCACTTTGTTTTCTCCTCACCAGTGACTGCTAGGCTATCTGGCACGCCTTTGTGAACAGGTATCAGACAGTGATAGATACTGGGATGTACTGAAACTTTCTTCCATGTTCTCTACAAGAAGTGATGGATCTCTACTTGCCTCACCACAGGAGAAAGCTCAAGATCAGCCATGACCCACTTCTAAGACACATTATGTATCCCTCAACATGCCAGGTAGACATTACTAGCCCCCTGTCCCCCCCAGCTACCCCTTGCCAGCTAGATGGGAGGAGTGGGAGGGAAGGAGAAATCTGGCTCCCTTACTGATAAAAAGTGGGGGACTAGAAGGAATAAAGGAAAATGCAAGATTACTGGGAGAACTACTAGGAAGTAGAACACTAACGCAGAACTCAGGAGTGCAGGGAAATACAACACTGCAGTAAAAAAAAGGTGGTGGGAACAAGAGGTTCTTGGAAGTAGATTTCCCCTCTTCTCTTCCTCCCTGTCCCTGCCCCACATGCTTAAACACAAGAGAGATGCATGCACAGGATGGGGTTGGGCACTGAGAAGCAGCATCACCCCTCCCTTCTCTGCACAGCGCAGCTCTGATTTCCCTCCTACACTTGTTCCTGGTCTGGCTCCTTTTTTGAAAGCCATTGAATAATCATGCTGTAAGTGATGAAGTGAGAAGAATGCGGCCCTTTCAACATCAGCAAATATTT